GTAACAAGAGCGAAACCCCATCTCAAAAAAAAAAAATAATTAATTAATTTTATTAGCTAGGTGTGGTAGTGCACACCTGTAGTCCCAGCTACTTGGGAGGTTGAAGTGGGAAGAAGGCTTAAGCCTGGGAGGTTGAGGTTGCAGTGAGCCATGGCTGTGCCACTGCATTCCAGTCTGGACAACAGAGCGAGATCCTGTCTCAAAAAAAAAAAATTGTAAGAGAATATTTCTTTCTTGACATATGAAATTCAAAAATCTGTTTCATGTCAGAATGGGACTATAAGTGTAAAAAATTTAAAAAGAAAAAGTATCCACAGTAAAGTTTTACTGCCCATTCATTTACATATTGTAAAGGCTACTTTCACACTACACAGGCAGAGTCAGGAGTTTTGACAGAAACCATATGGCCTGCAAAGCCTAAAATATTTACTGCCTGGCGCTTGATGCCAGTGGCACCCTGCAATCCCAGCACTTTGGGAGGCCAAGGCAGCGAGATGGCTTGAGCCCAGGAGTTCAAGATTAGCCTGGGCAACATGGCAAAACCCCATCTCTACAGAAAGTACGAAACTTAGCCAGGTGTTGTAGCATGTGCTTGTAGTCCCAGCTACTTGGGAGGCTGAGGTGGGAGGATCACTTGAGCCTGGGAGTTCAAGGTTGTAGTGAGCCATGATCATGCCAGTGCAGTCCAACTTGGGTGAAGTGTGCTAACTTCTCTAGAAGATGTTCGGAGGGGTACATCCCACCCACCTGTCCATGAAACAAACTCACTCAGGATCTAGGGGAAATTCCACGGTTTCACAAACCCAGACAGAGGGATGGTGCTTTTTCACATAAAAACTTCCTATTTCACCTGATTTCTATCCTGGGTCAGCCAAGACACTCTTCTCTAAATGGGCCTCAGATTCCACTGTTCTCTGGATGGCTTCTCCAAAGGATAAGGGTTAAGAATGAAGTTTGGGTACTAATTTTTGTTCGTAAATGATCAATTACATTAGCAAACATAAATCAGCGAATTAGAGTAGAATTCATATTTATTTATATCTTATTTTTAAAAATAAGTTCAAAGCATAAAAGTCCTATATTTCTTGGGTTTAACTCTGTGGTTTATGAAAAGTAATCTTTCCCTATACGTGTGACAGACCCTTGCACCAAATCCCTAAATCAGTGATCAGTACAACTTCCAGAGTAAAGGCTATTACATGGTGATGCTCTCAGAATGGGAGCAAGAATAAAGTTTAGGATGCTATTCTGAGTATACAGGGATCCTCTTATGAACATCAGTGGCTGTCCCTCTTTTAAGAGGGTATTGGAAGAACTGAGCTCAGAATTCGTGAAGCTTAGAATTGAGAAGGAAAATACACCAAAACTAAAATAAAAAACGAGAACTCTTCTTCATGTATGCTTCATATCCAGTCTCACCTTGATGATGTCTCCATTGGAGGCAATCAAATCTGTTGGAATGGTCACTCTAAATGAGCGCCCAACGACAGCCGTGCCATCAGGAATGCCAACCACTGTGGGAACAGCCTCATGAAGTTCTGAGAGCACTGAGTGCATGGATGCCTCAAGCTGGTTTTCCCAGTCCCTGACGTCCTCTGAGGGTTCACTGGGCCAATGGGACTGAGCCATGGCCACAGAGAGCAGAAGGAGAAAGGTCCTCCCCCAGAGGGGGAGCAGCAGCGAGAGGCCCACAGACCTCCTCATCCCAGGCCCAAGTTTGTTCAGGTCGATAGTCTTGTTAAGTAAAAGAGCAAGTGACTTGGTTCCAGAGCTGGGTCCTCACTCTCTGCACACCTGCTCCATCACGGAGGACACAGAGTCTGAAAAAAAAAAAAGAAGAAGAAAAGCAGATTCAGATTTGACCAATTCCAGTGGTTCGAAGTCATATACTAGCCTCCAGGAGTTACTGCCAAAAACGTCTATCCTGAGTTGGATCAAGCCTCTTACCCCCATGTTCTCTTATACAGAAGCCACCAGTTTCATGCAACTCCTTAGCAATGGAAATGTAACTGGTCCATTAAGTGTAAAATATACACTGGATTTTGAAAACATTATAAAAAAGGAATGTAAAATGCCTCATTAATACTTTTAAAATATTGATTACATACTAAAATGATATATATTTTGGTAATATTTTGGATATACCCAGATTCAATAAAATATATTAAGTAAACAAGTATTAACAAAGAATAAATAATAAATAAATGTATTAAATAGATGAGGTGCAGTGGCTCATGCCTGTAATCCTAGCACTTTGGGAGACCAAGGGAGGGGGATCGCTTGAGGTCAGGAGTTCGAAACTAGCCTGGCCAACATGGCGAAATCCCATCTCTACTAAAAATATGAAAATTGGCCAGACATAGTGGTGGGCGCCTGTAATCCCAGCTACTTAGGAGGCTGAGGCAGGAGAATTGCTTGAACCTGGGAGGTGGAGGTTGCAGTGAGCAGAGACTGCATCACTACACTCCAGTCTGCGTGACAGCAAGGAAAAAAAAAAAAGAACATCATCTGCTGATTTTTTTCATGTGACTACCAGAAAAATTTACATGACATATGTGGTTCATGTTGTATTTCTCTTGGGTGGCACTGCTTAGACCTACTTCCAATTTACAGGAAATTTGGGAGCCACGCAAAGAAAATCACACAAATCTAGAATGTGGGATCTTCTGTGAGACAACAACTGGCCTGGTCTCTCCAAATGCTGACATCCCTAAACATAAGATGACTTCTGGGTGCGGTGGCTCACACCTGTCATCCCAGCACTTTGGGAGGTCGAGGTGGACAGATCACGAGGTCAGGAGTTTGAGACCAGCCTGGCCAACATGATGAAACCCCATCTCTACTACAAACACAAAAATTAACTGGGCATGGTGGTGCACACCTATAGTACCAGCTATTCAGGAGGCTAGGCAGAGGAATCGCTTGAACCTGGGAGGCAGAGGTTGCAGTATGCCAAGATCACGCCACTGTGCTCCAGCCTGACAATAGAGTGAGACTCCGTCTCAAAACAAACAAAAAAACTAGGTTAGTGAGTGGAATGCACCTATAGTCCCAGCTATTTGTTGAGCCCAAGAGTTCAAGGTTACACTGAGCTATGAAGACGACACTGTACTCTATCCTGGGCCACAGAGCAAGACCCTGTCTCTGTCCGCCCTCTCCCAACCCCAAAAAATATACATACATCAAGTCTGATCGCTGTCTCTAAATCTAGAACAGTCAACCTACGTTAAGTGCTTTTTTTTTTTTTTTTTAGATGGAGTCTCGCTCTGTCACACAGGCTAGAGTGCAGTGACGCAATCTAGCACTGTGGGAGGCCAAGGGGCGAATCACCTGAGGTCAGGAGTTCGAGACCAGCCTGGCCAACATGGTGAAACCCTATCTCTACTAAAAATACAAAAAAATTAGTCAGGCATGATGGCAGGTACCTGTAATCCCAGTTACTCAGCAGGCTGAGGCAGACGAATCGCTTGAACCCGGGAGATGGAGGGTGCAGCAGGCCGAGATCACGCCACTGTACTCCAACCTGGGCGACGAGAGCAAAACTCTGTCTCAAAAAAAAAAAAAAAAGAAAGAAAGAAAAAAGAAAAGAAAAAGAAACAGGGTCTTGCTATGTTGCCCAGGCTGGATTTGAATTCCTGGGCTCAAGTAATCCCCCCACCTCAGCCTCCTGAGTAGCTGAGACTACAGCCATTTGACACCACACTTGGCTCTGATTCATTCTATTAAGCTAGCATTATCCAGATACCAAAAATCAAACCAGGGTATTACAACAAAACTACAGACCAGTACTTAACATAAAAACAGACATAAAAATCTTTAACAAAACTTAACCAAACAGAATTCAGCAATATATTAAAATAAATATATACGATGACCAAGTGGTACTTATTCCAGACATGCAAGGAGAGCTCAATATTTGAAAAGTAATCAGCTCAATATTTGAAGATTAATCATATTAACAGGCTAAAGAACAAAAGTCACGTGAACCAATTGATGCAGAGAAAGTATCTGACAAAATTCAACACTGATTCATAATTTTAAAAACTCTTAGTAAAACAGGAACAGAGGAAACTTCCTCAACTTGATAAAGAGCATCTACCAAAAAACCCCACAGCTAACATTATATTTACTGGTGAGACTGGTGCTTTATCCTTAAGAACAGAAACAAGGCAAAGAATGTCCGCTATCACCATTCTTACACAACGTAATACTAGAAGTTCTGGCTAGTGCAATAAGGTGAGAAGAAAAGTATGGTGGCTGGGTGCAGTGGTGCACGCCTGTAATCCCAGCACTTTGGGAGGTCAAGGTGGGCAGATCACCTGAGGTCAGGAGTTTGAGACCAGCCTGACTAACATGGTAAAACCCAGTCTCTACTAAATACAAAAAATTAGCTGGGCCTACGTGGTGGGAGAATCGCTTGAACCCAGGAGGCAGAGGCTTTAGTGACTTGAGATTATGTCACTGCACTCCAGCCTGGGCAACAAGAGTGAAATTCTGTCTCAAAGAAAAGAAAAAAAGAAAAAGAAAAAAAGTATGGCATACAGATTGGAAAAGAAAAAATAAAACTGTCCTTTTTTTTGCAGATGACATAGTTGTCTATGTAGAAAATTCCAAGGAATCTATAAGAAAATTCCTTATAGTCCCTATATTAGTTCTACAATAAGTGGGTTCAACAAGGTTACAGAATACAAAAACATTCAAAAATCAACTGTATTTCTATATACTGCAATAAACATGTGGACACCATATTTAAAAATACAATATCATTCAAACTATCAAAAAAAATTACTTAGGTATAAATCTAACAAAACATGTACAGAATATGTACGCTGAAAACTAAGCATATACCTGTGATCCCAGATACACAAGAGGCTGACGGAGGAACCCAGAAGTTTGAGACCAACCTGAGCAACATAGTAAGACCCTGTCTCTATTAAAAAAAAAAAAAAAAAAAAGAGCCAGGTGCAGTGGCTTATACCTATAATCCCAATACTCTGAGAGGCTGAGGCAGGAGGATCACGTGAGCCCATGAGTTAGAAACCAACCTGGGCAACATAGTAAGACCTCATCTCGCCGGGCGTGGTGGCTCACGCCTGTAATCCTAGCACTTTGGGAGGTTGAGGTGGGTGGATCACCTGAGGTCAGGAGTTCAAGACCAGCCTGGCCATCATGGTGAAGCCCCATCTTTAAAAAAAAAAAGATCTCATCTCTACAAAAATTTTAAAAATTAGCCAAATGTGGTGGCATGCGCCTGTGGCCTCAGCTACTTGAAGACTGAGGTGGGAAGACCACTTGAGCCCAGGAGGTCGAGGCTGCAGTGAGCCGTGTTCACACCATTGCACTCCAGCCTGGGCAACAGAGCAAGACCCTGCTTCGGAAACAGCAATAATAATTTTAAAATTAAAAAAAGAAGACTCTATTGGTGCAGAGACAGATACACAGGCCAATGATACATAATAGGGAATCCAGAAATAGACCTATACAAATATGCCCAAGTGATTTTTGACAACAGTGCAAAAGCAATTCAATGGGGAAAAAATTGCCTTTTCAACAAATGGTACAACCCAGATGTCCTTCAATGGGTGAATGATTAAACAAACTATGGTACATGCATACCATGGAATACTAATGAACAATAAAAATGAATGAACTATTGATACACTCAACAACTTGGATGAATTTCCAAGCAATCTTACTAAGTGGAAAAAAAAAAAAAAACCAATCCCAAATGGTTATATACAATATGATTTCTTTTTTATGACATTCTTGAAATGACAAAATTATAGAAACAGAGAACAGATTAGTAGGTGCCAGGTATAACAGATTAGTGGGGTCAGAGTGTGAGGGAGGTAGACGTGCCTATAAAAGGACAACAAAATATTCTGTGATAATGGAACTATTCTGTACCCTGACTATACCATTTTCAATATCCTGGCTGTGATACTGTACTATAGTTTTGCAAGATATTACCATGGTGGAACTGGGTAATTGTACATAGGATCTCTCTTCTATTAAAACTGAATGTGAATCCACAATTATCTCAAAAAATCTTTTTTTTTTTTTTTTTTTTTTTGAGATAGAGTTTCACTCTTGCTACCCAGGCTGGAGTGCAATGGCACGATCTCGACTCACCACAACCTCTACCTCCTGGGTTCAAGCAATTCCTGCCTCAGTCTCCCGAGTAGCTGGGATTACAGGCAGGCACCATCATGCCTGGCTAATTTTTTATTTTTAGTAGAGATGGGGTTTCTCCATGTTGCTCAGGCTGGTCTCAAACTCCTGACCTGAGGTGATCCGCCCGCCTCAGCCTACCGAAGTGCTGGGATTACAGGCGTGAGCCACCACGCTCAGCCTCTCAAAAAATCTTTTACATCTTAAAATAAATTGAATGCGAGTTTTAAATCTGACACAGTGGGATCCTGTCTCAAAAAAAAGAAAAAGAAAAAGTTATTTTTCTTTTTTTTTGAGACAGAGTCTTGGTCTGTCACCAAGCTGGAGTTCAGTGGCATAATCTCAGCTCACTGTAATCTCCACCTCCCAGGTTCAAGCGATTCTCCTGCCTCAGCCTCCCAAGTAGCTGGGATCACAGGCATGTGCCACCACACCCAGCTAATTTTTGTATTTTTAGTACAGACAGGGTTTCATTATGTTGGCCAGGATGGTCTCGATCTCCCGACCTCATGATCCGCCCGCCTCAGCCTCCCAAAGTGCTGGAATTACAGGCATGAGCCATTGCACCTGGCAAATTTCTTTTTTTTTTTCTTTGAGACAGGGTCTCATTCTGTGGCCCAGGCTGGAGTGCAATCACACAATCACAGCT